TATATATATATATATATATATATATATATATATATATATATATATATATATATATAGATAGTACATAAATATTATCAAATATCTATCAGGTCTCTCTTGTAAATGAGTCCTCGAGGCTCAATGGGATTTACCTGTATAAATAAAGGTTGATTGATAAATGGTATATAAATATATAAATGCTATAAATGGTATATAAATATATAAATGGTATGTGAATATATATATGTATATATATATATATAAAATATATAAATGCTATAAATGGTACATGAAAACATTTAAAAGACTTTATGTGGCGCCTCATCAGGCTGCAGTCTCTATTCTTTCTCTGTCTCTCTCATTAAAACATGCTGAACGTGAGGCGGTGTGTTTTTAAACTGACAGAAGAAAACTATACTTTAGCTTTTCAGACGTGTCTGCTGCAGAATGACTAAAAACCACAGCAGATATCAATCCACACACACCACGTGTTTCCTTTAAAACCAGAATGAACTGAATGTGCGCGCCCCCGCCGGGCTCAGAGAAAAGACCGCCCACTACTGCGCGCTCCCGGCACCACTTTAATGTTGTGCACTTTGTCGCCCTGTGGAGTGATCGGAGCATCACTCTGAGTCCTGAGGAGTGCTCTGCCTGCAGGATGACCATCAACAGCCTGAGTAAAGAGCAGATGTCATGTTTTCACAAGGTGAGACTTTGAGGCGCACGTGTGAAGAAAACAAACTGCTGCTGTCTTTTTAAAACTTACTAGCTGCATGCTCCAACTGTTTGTTGTAAACTTATTTCTGACTGTGTGTGAGTCAGATGGAGAAGGTGGTTGTAGCCATGCAAGACCCTGACATTGGCATCAAGCTGAGGAACCAAAGACTCCTGATCACAGTCATCCCTCACGCCATGACAGGTCTGTAATCTGTAATCTGTAGAATCCAGCTGCTGCTCTCATCCACTCTGCAGGTCAAACCTTAAATAATTTAAGTGCTGATTCAACATTCACACTTTGGTTTTCCAGCCTTTTTATTTTTCTGTAATCCAACTACTTTTGCATATTTTATATATCAAAACGTTCAGTTCACTCATAAGATGAGTGACTTTTGTAAATGTGCCTAACTTTTTTATTTTCTTTAACATTTAACCATATCATGTATTGTAATCCCTTCAGTTCCTTCAAAAACATTCTCTTTACAATCTGCATCAGAATATTTCCTCTTGTTTTATCTTCTTATTCTATCTTTAGCTAGACTTTTACTACTTTTAGCTTTCAGCAAGCTTTTTGCTACTTTTAGCTTTCAGCTACTGTTATGCTAACTTCTAACTTTTAGCCATTCTTTTACAACTTTTAGTTTCTAGCTATCCTGTCACTTTTAGCTAGCTTTTAGTTTTAGCTAGCCTTTTGATACATTTACCCTTTAGCTAACCTTTTGTTACTTTTGACTTTTAGCTTCTGTTTTTTTAGCTACTATTTAATTTTTTGTTTATAGCTAGCTTTTTGTGACTTAGCTAGCTTTTGTTACTTTTATCTTATATCTAGCCTTTTACTACTTCTACCTATCAGCCATTATTTTGGTACTTTAATCTTCTAGTTAGCCTGTTGTCCTTTTTAGATCCTGTTTTTCTATTTTTAGTTTTAAGATAAGATAATATAGAACCTTATTTTATCCCGCAGAAAATTGTTGAAACTAGTCTTTTGTTACTTTAGCTAGCCTTTTGATAATTGTAGTTTTTAGCTACTATTCTGCTATTTTTGTTTTTAGCTAGCATTTTGCTTTTTTAACTTCTAATAAACCTTTGTTATTTTCAACGAATGTTGTTCTGGAAGTGGCAGAAATGAAGACGTTGAGGTTCTCCTTAGGAGTGACAAGGATGAATAAGATTAGGAATGAGATCATCAGAGGTACAGCACAGGCTGAACAACTGGGAGATAAAGTTAGAGAGACCAGACTGAGATGGTTTGGACATGTCCAGAGGAGGGACCATGGGTATATTGGTAGAAGGATGTTAGAAATGCAGCTGTAAGGAAAAAACCAAAGAGGAGATATATGGATGCAGTTTGGTCGTTTTCACACTAGATAGTCCGGTAGACTCGGTTCGGGACCAATATTCATGACCTTTTGTTTACATTTGAGCTGGTGCGTTTGCATTCACACTGCACTGTGCAGTCGAGTCAACCTGTTGAACCAACCTGTTCCCCTGCTCGCCTGTGGGGGCGCTGCACCAAGAACTACTGAAAGAAACGACACAAAAACCTTTGAAGACACGTCTTCTTCTTCTTCTGTAAATAAAAATAAAAACGAAGTGGCATCAAGTTTTAGCAGTTTTAGGAGTTATATTTTGTCATTTTTCAAAAATGGACTGGGTCCTGGGTCTTTCCCAGGGTCTCCTCCCAGTCCTGGTATACACCTCACTAGGGAGGTGCCCAGGAGGCATCCTCAACAGATGCCCAGAACTCCTCAAATGGCTCCATTGGATATGGAGGAGCTGCGGCTCAACTCTGAGTCTCTCCTGGGAAACTAAACTTCTCATTCTATCTCTATGGGAGAGTCCAGCTGCCCTGTGGAGAAAACTCATTTCAACCTCCTGTATCAGCATTCTCATTCTTTCGGTCACGACCCAAAGTTTTTGACCATAGGTGATGGTAGGAACGTAGACCGACTACTAAACAAAACTTTGCCTTACAGCTCAGCTCCCTCTTCATCACAATGAACCGGCACAGTGTCCACAATACTGCAGACGCTGCACCGATCTGTCTGGTAATCTACTGCTCCATTCTTCCCTCACTCATGAACGAAACTCCAAGATACTTGAACACCTCTAGTTGAGACAGCACCTCATCCCCAACATGGAGAAGACAATCCACCTTTTTTTGTCTGTGGACCATGGCCACAGATTTGTATTTGCTGATCCTCATCCCAGCTGCTTCACACTTGGCTGTGAACCACTCCAGTGAGAACTGAAGATCATGGCACAATGTCACCAACAGGACCATATCATCTGCAAGTAGCAGAGACGAAATCCTGAGGCCACCAAACCTAAGTCCCTCTACTCACTGGCTGCACTGAGAAATTCATGAAAGTTATGAAATGAATCAGTGACAACAGGCAGCCCTGACAGAGTACAACTCCCACCCTAAAGGGTCTGACACTGTCAGCAATGCAAACCAAACTCTTGTACTGCTTGTATAGAGACTGGATGCCATGTAGCACTGGACCACCAATCCCATGCTCACGGAGTACCCCTGTTCAGTGTACCTTGAGGAACACAGTTCTTTTGTTCCACGAGCCTTCTCCAGGTTCAATTAATGATCAGACTCTCTTTTATGGTACTCCTGAATAACAGGATTAATATTCTGGTGAGGCTAAGGAAATTGATGCCCCTATAATTTGAACACACTCCCTCTTTGAAGAAGGGAACCAACACCCCAGCCTGCCAATCCAGTGGTACTGTCCCTGATGTCCACACAATGTTGTAAAGTCATGTCAAGACAGCCCAGTAACATCCAGAGCCTAAATTAACTCAGGTCAGATCTAATCCACCCCCAAGCACTGCTGCCACAGAGCTTTTTAACTACTTCAGCAACCTCATTCCTGGTTATAGATGAACCAACTTCCAAGTCCCCTGACAGCTTTCTCCATGTAAGATAATGTTGGTGGAATTGAGAAGGTCCAAGAAGTATTCCTTCCACCACCTGATGGTATCACTGACTG